TATGAGTTCTAGCAGTTTTGAGGTGGAGCCTTTTGGGTTTTTCCCATAAAGTATCATATCATCTGCAGAGTGAGAGTATGACTTCTTCTTTGCTGATTTGGATGCCTTTGATTTCTTTTTGTTGTCTGATTGCTGTGGCTAGGACTTCTAATACTATGTTGAATAGCAGTGGTGATAGTGGACATCCCTGCCATGTTCCTGACATTAGGGGGAAAGCTCTGTTTTTCCCCATTGAGAATGATATTCGCTGTGGGTTTTTCATAGATGGCTTTTATGATATTGAGGTATGTGCCCTTTATCCCTATACTCTGAAGAGTTTTGATCAAGAAAGGATGCTGTACTTTGTCAAATGCTTTTTCTACATCTAGTGAGAGGATCATATGGCTCTTGTTCTTTCCTTTATTAATGTATTGTATCACATTGATTGATTTGTGGATGTTGAACCAACCTTGCAGCCCAGGGATAAATCCCAATTGGTCGTGGTGAATAATCCTTTTAATGTACTGTTGGATCCTCTTGGCTAGTATTTTGGCGAGAATTTTTGCATCCATGTTCATCAAGGATATTGGTCCGTAATTCTCCTTTTTGATGGGATCTTTGTCTGGTTTGGGGATCAAGGTAATGGTGGTCTCATAAAATGAGTTTGGAAGTTTTCCTTCCATTTCTATTTTTTGGAACAGTTTCAGGAGAATAGGTATTAATTCTTCTTTAAATGTTTGGTAGAATTCCCCTGGGAAGCCATCTGGCCCCGGGCTTTTGTTTGTTGGGAGATTTTTGATGACTGCTTCAATTTCCTTACTGGTTATAGGTCTGTTTGAGTTTTCTATCTCTTCCTGGTTCAGTTTTGGTAGTTTATACATCTCTAGGAATGCACCCATTTCTTCCAGATTATCTAAATTGCTGGCATAGAGTTGCTCATAATATGTTCTTACAATTGTTCATATTTCTTTGGTGTTGGTTGTGATCTCTCCTCTTTCATTCATGATTTTATTTATTTGGGTCCTTTCTCTTTTCTTTTTGATCAGTCTGGCCAGGGGTTTATCAATCTTGTTAATTCTTTCAAAGAACCAGCTCCTAGTTTCGTGGATCTGTTCTACTGTTCTTTTGGTTTCTATTTCATTGATTTCTGCTCTGATCTTTATTATTTCTCTTCTCCTGCTGGGTTTAGGTTTTATGTGTTGTTCTTTCACCAGCTCCTTTAGGTGTAGGGTTAGGTTGTGTATTTGAGACCCTTCTTGTTTCTTGAGAAAGGCTTGTATTGCTATATACTTTCCTCTTAGGACCGCCTTTGCTGCATCCCAAAGATTTTGAACAGTTGTGTTTTCATTTTCATTGGTTTCCATGAATGTTTTTAATTCTTCTTTCATTTCCTGGTTGACCCATTCATTCCTTAGTAGGATGCTCTTTAGCGTCCATGTATTTGAGTTCTTTCTGAATTTCCCCTTCTGATTGAGTTCTAGTTTCAACGCATTGTAGTCTGAAAATATGCAGGGAATGTTCCCAATCTTTTGGTACCGGTTGAGACCTGATTTGTGACCTAGAATGTGATCTATTCTGGAGAATGTTCCATGGGCAGTAGAGAAGAATGTGTATTCTGTTGCTTTGGGATGGAACGTTCCGAATATATCTTTGAAGTCCATTTGGTCCAGTGTGTCATTTAAAGTCTTTATTTCCTTGTTGATCTTTTGCTTAGATGATCTGTCCATCTCAGTGAGGGGGGTGTTAAAGTCCCCCACTATTATTGTATTGTTGTCGAAGTGTTTCTTTGCTTTTGTTATTAATTGCCTTATATAATTGGCTGCTCCCATGTTAGGGGCATAGATATTCACAATTGCTAGATCTTCTTGTTGGATAGACCCTTTAAGTAGAATATAGTGTCCTTCCTCATCTCTTATTACAGTCTTTGGTTTAAAATCCATTTAGTCTGATATAAGGATTGCCATCCCAGCTTTCTTTTGGTGTCCATTAGCATGGTAAATGGTTTTCCACCCCTCACTTTCAATCTGGGGATGTCTTTGGGTCTAAAATGAGTATCTTGCAGACAGCATATCAATGGGTCTTGTTTTTTATCTACTCTGACAGCTTGTGTGTTTTGATTGGGGCATTTAGCCCATTTACATTCAGGGTAACTATTGAAAGATATGAATTTAGTGCCATTGTATTGCCTGTAAGGTGACTGTTACTGTATATTGTCTGTGTTCCTTTCTGGTCTATTTTACTTTTAGGCTCCCTCTTTGCTTAGAGGACCCCTTTCAGTATTTCTTGTAGGGCTGGTTTTGTGTTTGCAAATTCCTTTAGTTTTTGTTTGTCCTGGAAGCTTTTTATCTCTCCTTCTATTTTCAATGACAGCCTAGCTGGATATAGTCTTCTTGGCTGCATATTTTTCTCATTTAGTGCTCTGAATATATCATGCCAGTCCTTTCTGGCCTGCCAGGTCTCTGTGGATAGGTCTGCTTCCAATCTAATGTTTCTATCATTGTAGGTTACAGATCTCTTCTCCCAAGCTGCTTTCAAGATTTTCTCTTTGTCTCTGAGACTTTTAAGTTTTACTATTTGATGTCCAGTTATTGACCTATTTTTATTGATTTTGAGGGGGTTTGTCTGTGTCTCCTGGATTTTGATGCCTGTTTCCTTCCCCAAATTAGGGAAGTTCTCTGCCATAATTTGCTCCAATATACCTTCTGCCCCCCTCTCTCTTTCTTCTTCTGGGATCCTAATTATTCTAGTATTGTTTCATCTTATGGTATCACTTATCTCTCGAATTCTGCCCTCATGATCCCGTAGTTATCTTTTTCTCAGCTTCTTTATTTTCCATCATTTGGTCTTCTATATCACTAATTTTCTCTTCAGCTTCATTTATCCTAGCAGTTGGAGCCTCCATTTTTGATTGCACCTCATTAATAGCCTTTTTGATTTCAACTTGGTTAGATTTTATTTCTCCAGAAAGGGTTTCTCTAATATCTTCCATGCTTTTTTCAGGCCCGGCTAGTATCTTTAAAATCATCATTCTGAACTCTAGTTCCGACATCTTACTAATGTCCATATTGATTAGGTCCCTGGCAGTTGGTACTGCCTCTTGTTCTTTTTCTGAGGTGATTTTTTCCATCTTGTCATTTTGTCCAGGGAAGAATAGATGAATGAGAGAACAAAATGCTAACAGGGTCACAACAACCCCGAAAAATATATACTAAACAAATCAGAAGAGACCTTCCAGGAAGTGGTCACTTTTCTGTTCAGAGAGTTGCTGCTATTCTTTTCTTCGATCTCCTGTTGAGTTCGTAAGTGTTCAAAATGGTTTGATCCCTATCTAGCTGAATTCCTGGGACCAGAAGAAATTAGGTCTCCTACTCCTCCACCATCTTGCTCCTCCCCCCAACTCATGTGGAATTTAAGAAACAAAACAAACATAGGGGGAAAAAATGAGAGGAATACCAAGAAGCTGACTCTTCACTATAGAGAAGAAACTGATGGTTATTGGAGAGGAAGTGTTTGGGTGATGGGTTAAATAGGTGATAGGGATTAAGGAGGGCACATGTTGTGGTAGCACCCTGTGCTTTATTTAGTGTTGAATTACTAAATTTTATACCTGAAATTAATATTACACTGTGTATTAACTAATTGAATTTAAATAGAAACTTGAAGGACAAAAAATGGAAAGAATGATAGCTGAAGGAAGGTAAGTCAAAATACAGTCAGTTTTTCAATGAAGGTTCAGCAGGAGTCGATATGGGAGGTGCCCAGTGGATGGGCAAGAACTCTTTCCCTTTGTAACTGTGAATTTTGGAATGTTTTATCTTCCTTAGTCCTAGCAATCTGCCTTACTCTAAAAAGGGACTTCGAGATAGAAACCTTGGACCTAGAAAATTAAATGAGCAAACAGTTATAAAAGCATGCTTCCCATCTCTGTTCCTCACCTCAATGCTTTTCTATGTCCTCATCAGCCTCGTTCACCCCAGGTATAGTTTCTGACAAGTACTACAATTTCTCACTCAAAATTTTTGTCAGCTATTGTATTATTGGGATTAGCTGGTAAAAATTACACTTTGATGCCTGGTATTAGCAACATAAACACATGCTGGAGGCACAGTTGTAAGCATAACATCACATGGAGACAAAGAACAGGTGATGGTAGGGGTATGTGACATGAGAACTTAACTTAAAGCTTTTCACAGACTCACACACACACACACATCAATCTCATTATGATCCAAAAATCTGGTGGGAGAAAGGTGGAAGGACAAAGTTCTGCTTCCTCATTTTTCCTTTGTTGCTCTGCCTTTTAGAAAAGTAGACTACATGCCGTGTAGGCTTGCCTACATATCCTATATTTCTTTGTGTATTTAAATCATTCTAAGAGAGAATGGGAATGATATTTTAATGAAAATTTAGGGGCACCTGGGTGGCTCAGTTGGTTAAGTGTCTGCCTTTGGCTCAGGTCATGATCCCAGGGTCCTGGGATGAAGCCCTTCATCAGGCTCCCTGCTTAGCAGGGGAGTGTGCTTCTCCCTCTCCCTCTGCCCCTGCTTGTGTTCTCTCTCTCACTCACTCTCTCTCTCTCAAATAAACAAAATCTTAAAAAAATAAAGAAAATTGAACCAATGTGAATAAATTAGGGTAGAGAAAGGTGAGCTGCTGTCCACTGATTAAATTAACTCAAGCAAAGCACCATGAGTGACCAAATGGCAGGATTGTTTACAAATATACACAGCACTGTTTATTATGTTTCCTGACTTATCTGATTGGTTATAAATCATGGTATCACAAAACTGTTAAGAAACCTTCCAAGCTGCCATCTAATCCAACCTAAGCCACCAGTATTTGCTACACAAATCTGGCCATACTTGCCCTTCTCTATCCAAAGGGCACTTATGAGGTTGACATGCTTATGTAATCTTTCTGAACACTGTTTTCTCACTCCACTACTTTGGTTGTATTAACATGGTCTTTAGTAGTGCTTGCTCTGCTGGGTGGAGAAAAGACTTCCTTCTGAGCCTCCTTACCTCGGTTTTCATCCTCGTTGTCTTCCCAGGGCTCTTCATTTGCTAGCAGTGGGTTTTGTGATTCATTCATAGACCTCATAGGGAAGGAGTGTCCATCACCAGGGCTGTCGGGGAAAGGAAGGCAGTGAACTCTTGCAGCTGACATAGACTTTTTGTGAATCTAATAACCCTCTTAGAAATAGGACTGGTTTCTTACAAAGATTTAAACCATTTAGCTTATTCGCTAAAGCCATGGTGGAATTGGGTTTTACAACAGCATCATTTAGTTGCTGTATTGCTTTTAATTTCTATGTCTTGTTTGTCTGCATCATTGTCTACTGTTTTGGTTTGTAAGCAACTGTTAAACTTGTCTCCCACAATGCCCAGTTATGGCAATATGCACATATTGCGGGCTTCATAAATATCATTTAATGATCATCCGAATTTATATCCAACTATCTTATTGCTTTGGTTCTAAATTTTCAACAAAAATTAGCAGATTCAGAATCATTGATATATTGGAGATAAGTTGCTGTGAATTGGTGATAAGTATTAATGTCTGAATGTCCCATTATTTGGCTTGTATGGCAGAAAGGTTATTAGGAACTATGGGAAAGAGCCTGAGTGAGGCATCTCTAGGAGTGCAGATTTTGGGGGCAATTACCCTCACGTGCGATCCACTTTGTGGATATCTTTGGTAATCTAGGGCTACCTCCTTGGTGAATCTCTGTCCACCAACAGATGGGATGCATCAGAGGGAACTAAGTTCTGGCTAGAGTGGGCTACAGTTTGAACACTTGAGTATATATATCTGAATGCATTGCAAATTTATATCTGAGTGACTTTTGGATTACTCATTTTATATTACCTATGCCTTTTCTCCTGTTCATAATTGTGGTTAACTGAAAGTTGACAGATTTTACTGATAGTTCTCTACAGAGGATGTAAGTATACTGATTATAAGTGAATGGGCTTTGATTTTTGTTTTTTTATTTCAGAGAAGACTCATTTTAGACCTCTCTTTGATATAGTGATAGTGTGTATTTGTGTATGTGTGTTAGTGGGGTGCAAATAATTGCTGGTAACAGTTATTAATCAACATTACCCACCAACACAGTTTTGTCTTGTGCTTTATAGCCAGGATAGTAGGATACACCATAGAGCTTAAATAAATGAGGCTGTGAAACACCAACTGGTACCACTTATCCACTTAAAGCATTTTTAGGGTAGGTGTCCCCTCTGTTGTTTTCTTCTGATTTATTTGTACATATTTTGTATATATTTTTGATCACAGAGTATATACCATTTCAATTCTACATTTTTCACTTAAAACAGAGTGAGCATTTCCCTTTACTGTGACATAGTTTTAATAACTATTACTTATAACTACATAATATTCCAGCCAGTGGGGAGATAGATATATATATGGCATATTGTTGAATGTTTAGGATAGATGTTTCCTAATTATTGGCCGGAAATACTGTTGTGTTGAATATTTTTATGCCTAGTTTGTTTGTTTTGAGGATAGATTTTTAGAAGTGGAATTACAATGGACATGTAGATTCTTATGATTTTTGATACATATTACCAAATTCATTTATAAAAGAGTGGTACCAGTTTACACTGTCACAAAGCATGAGAATGTCTATTTATCATACCCTCACCTAATTTCTCTTAACCTAGAAATAAAAAAACTTGGGGAATAGAGTTTTTTACTGGACTGTTATTTGTTGCAAACTATAATTGAAACAGAATTTCCTATTTCAAGGCATGGTCCAGCATCAACTTCTTTCAGTGGTAATAATTACCTACCTGGACCCAATAGGTATTAACCAGAACTTCTTGTTATCTCCAAACACCTGCTGGATATTTTTGATGAAGCCAAGGTTGAACCCATTTTTCTCTGGGCCACTTGTAAACACTGGAGTACAGAAGGCCTCTAGGGCAGGATAGGGGAGTTGAAGAAAAGAGGAAGAAAGCAATAAAGGAACAAAGTTCAGGACTATCATGATCTTACAGTTCTCCATGAATGTGACTTGATGCTACAGTATCTTTTTGCTGTGGTAGCATTGGCCTCTCATCCTTAGTTATTGTTAAATTACGTAGTAAAAACAAGTTTCATTACTTAATACAAAGTCATTTTGTTATTAAATGCAAAGAATTGGTACTCTATTTTTTTTTAAAGGCAGAAGAATCACATAATGATAGAAATAATTAAGCAGCCATCGGGGAACTATATATTTTGTGCTGCTGCATTGTAAGGCATGAAAGAACAAATTTAACAGTATTTTATTTGAATCTTAAGTGGCAGCAGCAGCCCAATGGTCTCCATCTTTAGAGCTGGGACTAGAGTAATGATGCATAAAGAGTTGGTAATGACATTGATTTGGTTTTGAAATATTTCAGAAATGAAGATGTTTACACTGAAACCTGTGAATGTAAGAAACTGAGTTTTACTCCATTAAAAATGTCAACAGATGAACTATAATCACCTCAAAGACTGAGGAGTTGGACCATGTTAGTGCACATTATTTTTAGACACACATTTACCCATTAAGCAAAAAATACTTTCACTGTTGGACCGGCTGCATCTAGCCATTTCCCGTTTGTTCTCTGTTTTCAAATTCTGTTATCATGAAGTTTTTAGTACTTCTCTACTTTGTAGTTATGTCTAAGCCAAATGTGCTGATCTACCACCCTAGCAACTAAGTGCTACAGATATATGGTTTAGAAAAGGAGTGTAAATATTTTCTTAGCTGTTAGCATTATTAGTAAATGAGTTCCAAATGTATAGTGGCTTTTGTACGAAACTTTGCTCAATCTATCTTAGCTAAACATTCAATATTTGGACACTTTCTCCTCACTCCTCATGCATTTATTTGTATACAATGAAAATATTTGTTTCACTATAGATGAAGTAAAGTTGTTACAGTGGAATCCAGCAGAAACATAATTCTCCAAATAACAGCCTGGAGTATAGAGTAACAGAAAAAAAAATGTTAATTTCTTGTACTCATTTTCTAGAAACTCACTTATTCAGTGTATTTATCATATTCCCAGTCCTCCACAGCTCCTTGATGATTGTAGATATCCAGTGATTTGTTGGTTTGGATTCTTTCTCAGCACTCTGTCTTTGGATGCCCTCAATAATTTAGAGTCTTCTATCTTTATTAACCTTCACCTCTCCCTTCTGATGTTCCCTTCTGTACTGATTTTTCCTCCACTTCCTCATGTGAACACCTTTTAGAAATTTTTCAAGCTATAAATTTGGGGAGTTATTACCCAATGTGAATTATAAAGAGTAATGATCCATTTTGGTTTTGTGTGAGGTTTCATTCAATAACGCTTTATTCATTCACTATGGCTCTCCAGTTTGGTTAAACGTGTTTACATCTGTCTCAGTTTGTAAGCAAAGGAATGTCACTACAAATAAAATGCTTCACTGGAACTTTTCCTCTTCCTTGGGAATAATCCATATGCCACTATGATATTCATTAATGTGTTTCTTCCCTCATCTTAATATCCAGTCTTACCTAAGGTGGTTTTGTTTCTGCTGACGAGCCAACAATGGTAACCAAAGAGAATCACAAGGCTGACAAAAAACATGCAGGCCACAAAGAGGAGGAAAAGAACATGGAACTTTGAGCGAACACTGGGCAATTCCCCCTAGAACAGAAATAATAAACAAATAGAAACAGGATTAAAGTGATAAGGCTTGGCTAGTTTTTCTGTATGTTAGCACTTTTCTCATATGTATAAAATGTCTAGCTAGAATTAAAAAAAACAGATTTTATAAAATTTTTATAAAAGTTCTTTCTGTTGATGACCATACCTCATTATGGATATGCTTTCAGCCTACAAAGCCTAAAATGGATCCTTCATTAAGTTCAGTGTAAAACATAGTATATACTGCAGCAATTAGAGAATACTAGTGTAAGAAGGGTATATTCAGGCCATAATTGGTATGCAACCTCTTAAGGCTAGTACTCCATTTAGTTTGCAAATTATGAATCACTGGCCAGAGGTGATCTTGAGGTCATATGGTTCATCCTCTTGTCTCAAGATGGGTTATTCTGAAATACTTTATATATCATGTTTCCTTGGACATATGCATGTTGAAAACATCACAATGATACCTGTAGGAAGTTAAAACACATAGGTAGAATTTCAAAATGCTCTACCCATATGTTATAACCCGACTTTAAAGCTAGTGAAAATTTTGTGTGGATGTTTTTTATAGTTGAAGTAGAAGGTGTTGATATATCAAATTCTGTGAAATAGCTCTTTAGATAGTAAAATCAAGCAGGATTTGACAGGCAATTGTAAAAGTAGGTAGCTAAAGACTTTTATAGTTATCTGGGACATCTTATTTTCCATGTGGTGCCAACTTTCTTTTTTTACATGCAGCCCTAAACCAGCATGCACATTTTATCTTCTGAAGAGAACTTTAGAAAACATTTTCAGTTTTGGAGTGAGCAGTTGAGAGAAGTTTTTTATTTCCCCCTTTCCTGTGCTGATCATTTTTTTTTTTGGCATGATGAATTGCATTAAAGTATTTCCAAATGCTCTTGAGTAGTAAAGTTAAAGGTGATTCTTGATTGAAGTGGACCTTAACATTAGGATCTGGTTCTACTTCAGTTTGGAAGGAAAAAATTAAGACTTGGAAACACTTGGGAAATTCAGATAGCATGGATTTTTTTTCTTAGAGAAGATTTTTATTCATTTTGATGTAAGGAAATATTGGGGATCCTTCAGAGTATATATGTTTGAAGGATGAAGATAAGGGGAAGTCAGTCAGTCAGATGTTTTCAGCTGATGAGTAGTCTGGGTAAAATTTGCATGGGGGTAGAGCACCCCAGGACATAGTTACCTCAAGGACTTCAACCTTCAGAAAACTTCATCTGAAGCTCCTTTCTGAAATGATCCCTCCACAAAATCTTGGCCTAAGCTCCCAAACTAAATTTGATTGGCTTGTGTTTGTTTTGTTTTGAGTTTATAGGAAAAAAATTATATATTGTTTTGTAGTGGGTTTTGCCTAGCTAGGTTTTTGCTTTCATAATCTCTACTTTTTGAGTATGTTTGTTAAAGCTTTTAAAGCTTACATTTATTTTACTTCTTATCTTTCATATTTAAATGGGCAATAGGAAATGTCTAGGCAAGAGGGACAGACAGAAAGTCAGTTCACACCCTGGGTAGCTAAGCTGGAAGTCTTTTCCTCCCCTAATTACTCTTGTAGAACTGTCTTTTGTCTGCCAAAGGATATCCCTTGATAAAGTACCCCCCCTTTCTTTTTGTTTTGTTAGAAGAGGTTGACGGCCCTGTGTTTGAAATTACCTTCCCGGGAGATAACCAAGCTAAATTACTCAAAGCAATAACCACCAGAAACAGTTCAGGGGAATACTGGTAGCATAACACTACTATCTTGGTTCTAAAATAATTCATAGTCTCTGTGAAGAGATTCATGGCCCAGTGTGGAAGGTGTATATTACTACTTTTTTCATAAGGTAAAAGATCAATTTCCTATCAAAGTAGCTACTCTTCAAGTTAATATATAGAGGAAAAACATGACCTGATCATTGTCTTCTGAATTCTTTATTCCAAAGGAGTTATAGCTTCTCCATAGCAGGATGATAATGGGCAGTAGGATATGGTATAGTGTTTTAAGATCTCTGGGCTTAGGGTCAGATAGCCTCCAGGCCTGACTTTGAAACTTACAAGCTGGATAATCCTGAGCAAGTCACTTAACTACTATGAGCCCCAGTTTTATCATTTTTAAATGAGGCTATAATTCCTGTTTTGTGTACTTTATAAGGTTGTGGTGAGGAGAAGATGAGATAATAGATATGAAAGTGCTTTGAAAATGGTAAAGTATCATACAAATAGAGGTTGCTGTTCTTAGGAGAACCGCTAGTCACCTTGATACACGATTTTTAAAATACATGGCAGTGTTTACTTTTTATTTTAAGGTGAGACTCAATTTAAACTGAGAAAGCCATCTCTAAACCACCCCAAAGTGCTTTCTGGCTGGAGATACTGCATAGAAGCATTTTTCTGAATCATCAATGCCCTTTTCATTATGAGAGCAAACCAAGACAGGTTTTCTTACATCCCATCTGTCAGGCATGAGCTAATCTATTTTAGAGGAAAAATGAGGGAATAGGAAAAAGACAAGGCTATGCTCATCTTGTGCTCATGAATACTGGCATATGTTTGGTAATTAATTCACATCCAGATATTATGTTTCAAGAGTGAAAAAAAAAAGTGTACAGCACCTGGATGGCATTGTGGTATTTGAAGATTGACTGAGTTGGAGGGCCAAGGCAAAATGTGTAAAATGCAACATTGTTTACTCTGTCATGAGTTCTTAAACAGTAGCCTACTCTGTTGGAAGACCAAGTAAGGTCTATAGTGAAGACCGAGGCTGACACTTTCTCGGCTGAATTGGATACGGTAGATTTTCTTTACATTCAGGGTAGTAGCTCAGTGTGTGAATGGGATGCCAAACAGGTCATGAAAACCTGAGCAATAGATAAGAGATCCTGAGATGTGGAAAGGAGCCAAAGAAGAGATGCCAAGATAATGAATCATTTTGTATTTGGGGAAAATTTATGAGAAAACTTCATTTCTGCTTATATTTTTGTATCTCTGAGTTGAAGATTTTTTTTAAAGATTTTATTTGTCAGAGAGAGAGAGTGAGCATGAGCAGGGGAAGGGGCAGAGGGAGAAGCAGGCTCTCCGCTGAGCAAGGAGCCTGATGCAGGGCTAGATCCCAGGACCCTGGGATCATGATCTGAGCCAAAGGCAGAGGCTTAACTGACTGAGCCACCCAGCTGTCCCTGAGTTGAAGATTTTGATGTACATTATATAATTCCTGATTCTTACTTATTTATTTATTTGAGAGAGAGAGAGACAGAGAGCATGAGAGAGTGCACAAGCCAGAGGGTGGGTAGTGGCAGAGGGAGAAGCAGACTCTCTGCTGAGCAGGGAGCCCCATGCGGGACTTGATCCCAGGACCCTGGGTTCATGACCTGAGCCAAAGGCAGATACTTAACCGACTGAGCCACCCAGGTGCCCCATAATTCCTGATTCTTAAAGTTATTAAATATCTGAATTGATTAAGAAAGTTGGGAAAATGGAAAGCACATATCACTGTAATTTTTAATACTATATTTTCTACACTAGTAGGGATCAAAGCATTAATTAATAATTTAACTACTCTCAGGTATTTAGGTTCTCACTGCCTGTCTTTCTTTGTTCTCCACTTTATTATAATCTTTAGTCTGGTCACAGGATTCACATTCTTTCCCTGTTGCTTTACCTCTTCACTTGACGTGAGATATTCCTATTATATGGGCTCCTGTACAATTCCTTCAGTAATTACTAATAGCTCTACCCACATCTGTCTTTTGCTATTTAGGTTCAGTTTGGACAACCCTCATCATGGAAGGTTATGATATTTTAACTACTGTACTGGAATTGTGGGGAAGGGATATCTTCTGGAGTCCATTGACATGAAATAAAAAAAAATTCACTATACTGCTGCCAGACCCCACACACATATGTAAAGTAAAAATCTGCCTTCAATTCGTTTGGAAATAGATGGGATATGGTTGAAATTTTCAAGTAGAAGAAATGTGAAATTCTCTTTTAGATTTCACTATAATCATCAAAATCATTAAGAAGGTAAAAATACTTTACCTTTCAACATATGTTTCATTTGACCTTGGCAATGAGCCAGGGAAGCAGGTAACAGAGCCAGTATTAGAACTCAGTTTTCCTAATTCCCAACCCAGTGTTTGTTATACAAAGCTCAAATAAGACTCCCCATTTCATTTTGGTCCTGTGCGAAGATGAGTCAATGAATCTTTTTGTCCAGTAGGAATTTTGCAACTCTCCTTTGAACAGGAAATGAGAAAGTATTTTCTGACAATGAGGGAATATTTTGTTAGCATTTTTCTTAGGAAACTAGAGATTCAAAATTAGTTTCAACATTTTAAAAATCTATAATTGGTAAGCAGTGGGTATTTTAAACTTGACTAGGTAAATACATTGTAAAGAATCACTAAGAGTCAAGAGGTTAGGTTCCCAAAGGTCTTAACAAGATTCTCATGTATGACAGAAATTTAAGTGGAATCCTTAAATAACAAACTCCTAAATCTCAGAATATTCCACATGGGAAACTTGTTTTTGGTGGCTTCCTTTCTGGTTACCTTAGTATTAGCTATTTCAAAATGTAAAAGGGAAAGTTGAAAAATGTCACAGATGTATGTTTTGGGGGTGACCTTTCAGGGTTATTTAACTTACTCTCCAGTATTTGATGAAATAGTTGAAGACTGTTGTAGCAATGTACAGGCAGTAGAGAACAGAATAAGCTAAGAACTGAAGAAAGAATTTGTAGTTGGAAAATCCAATGCAATTATTAACCCTAAAAAAAAAAAAGAAAAAAAGAAAACGTAATTTGAAATCAGGATCCATTGATTGAGAACACACTGATACATAAGTGAACAAAGCAATGGAAGGATGTTATTCTTGCTGCTTCATTATGTGTTGTGTAGAAACTCAACAGAATAGAAGTCCCTTAATAAAAACAGACTAGAAAAACAAGTTCATGTCTCACTTGTTTCTCTTTTCATTTACAGGCATAGAGACACCTGGCCTACTTAATTGTTCTGGACTGGTTCCTGACCCACCCAAGAAAACCTGAATCTTGGATACTAAAAACCTATTACAATCTTAACAGCTACACTTAGTACAGTGTGACATGTTCTCTTTGTAGTTAGATGGTTTCAGACTGGTTCTCTAGGTCAGACATACAAAATTTGGAGAATTGCTGAAGTTAACGATCTAGAATATTTCAAACATCAAGACAACTAAAAACAGAACTGAATTGTATAATGTCAAAGAAGAGAACTATTTGTGCTTGATTTCATTACTACACCCAATTACTAAAGCTAATGGACAAAAGACCATTAGTTTTGTGAGATCAGGAAATTCACTACCATACCTTTGGTGGTATATTTATTTTTTCTTTAAAATGTTATGCCTGCCCTGTCCCCCATGTACATACAAGACCCAGTGATTTATGGTTAGAGAAACAAACATGTTACAACTATGCTTAGGAAAATAGGCATTTTGAGCAACTTTGACCCTTTCAGAGTAAAGAAATGAATCAAAAGGACATACCAAGGGCAGTGATGGTCCATTTTTAATACACACCTACAAAAGAAACAAAATACAGTGTGATAAGTGGAGCTACAGAAATGAAGTAATACCTCATAATTGAACTCAAGTCTCACCAGTATTTTTACATGGTACCAGTACACTCATTCCTAGATTTCCACTATAAGCTACTGCAAAATTATTTTGTTCTCAGTTATTTCTTGGATGAGCCAATCACAACACTTTATAGGATTATACTGACAGCAAGTTACATGCCTAGAAGTCTAAGATATCTCCCCTCATTTTGCTCAATATACAGATTAATAAAAATACATTAGAAAACATATGGCTACAGTCTGTTAAAATAAAAGACAAATGGAGACCATCCTTAAAAATTACTCAAGCTGACAAAACCAGTTTAGTCATACAAGCAAAGCTTAATTTAGCTTATTTTATAAGACTGACTTGACCTGGGTCATTTCTTGCTTATGCCTCTGGAAATCATTAGTAAAATTTAAACTGTTTTCTAAGGTTGGTATAAAGTAACCACTGACCAATTCTCTATCATTTAAGAAAATTTTGAATATTCTAACCACTGTGAAGAATAAAAAGGCCTTGTTTTCTCACTATATAAGCTGTTTTATAACAATATATCTCAAGCCTCATTTTATGTTTTGGTTTGAGTGCTCCTGGTTTGCAAACTGTCCTTCTGGTGTGTACACAATAAAATTTTACTAATTAGGGGCCCCTGGGTGGCTCAGTCAATTGTCTGCCTTCAGCTCAGTTCATTATCCTGGGATCCTGGGATTGAGCCCCGCGTTGGGCTCCTTGCTCAGCCAGGAGCCTGCTTCTCTCTTTCCCTCTGCCCCTCCCCTGCTTGTGCTCTCTCTCTCAAATAAATAAATAAAATCTTTTAAAAAATTTAAAAAATTACTAATTGCTATTCTGGTGATTTATTTATTTTACTTTGGCTATTTCTGATCTTTTGAAAGATCTCTCTGAATCAATAGTAAGAGAAATATGGGTGGAACATAACACCCAAGAAGAAAGGACATGAAGATTATATTTATTAACATACCGATGTGACTTTACAAAGCTGGAATAATTCAAGTAACAAAATAAAGTGGTATTGAGGTATAACCCAAAATATAAAGTGATTATCCATGCCTATATACTTATATGAATAATAAACAAATAAGGAAACAAACAAATAAGTGAGAAGAGTCAAATCTCTCAAGAAGAAGAATTCCAAACAATTTATGTAGATATTCTACCTTCAAGGAGGGGGAGCATAATTTTCCATTCCTTTAGTTTGGGCTATTCATAGTGATTTCCTTCCAAAGGGTAAAGGAAGCAGCAGAGGAAGAGTAAATTTACATTAGAGAAATCTGACAAACACTACCTCAGCCAAATAATCAAGATTAATAATACAGTGATAAGTCATGTTCATAATATGTGCCCTTGATAAAATACAATGATAATGGTATTTTACCTCTATGCTCTTCCTACCCAAAACACAGTACCCAAGTCTAATCATGAGAAAAATATCAGACAAATCCCAACTGAGGGATATTCTACAAAATACTTGATCATTAATCCTAAAATCCTAAAAACTGTCATGGTTATCAAAAACAAGTAAAGTCTGAGAAAACTGTAAGAGCTAAAAGAACCTGGGAAGACATGCCAACTAAATGTAATGTGGTATCCTGGATGGGATCTTAGAAAAGAAAAAGAACATTAGAGAAAAACTGAGGAATTCTAAACAGAGTATGGACTTCAATTAAAAATAATGTATTGATGTTGGTTCATTAGTTGTAACAAATGTATCATATTAATGTAAGATGTTGATAATAGGGGAAACTGGATGTAGGACATATGAGAACTATCATCACAATAATTCTATAAATCTAAAACTGTTCTGAGACCAAACATTTATTTTTATTTTTTAATTTTTAAAATTTTATTTATTTATTTATTTTTATTTTTTTATTTATTTGAGAGACAGAGAGCAGAAGAGAGAGAGAGCAGAAGCGGGGGGGGGGCAGCAGAGGTAGAGAGAGAAGCAGGCTCCCCGCTGAGCAGGGAGCCCAATGCAGGGCTTGATCCCAGGACCCCGTGATTATGACCTGAGCTGAAGGCAGATGCTTAACCAACTGAGCCACCCAGGCGCCCCATTTTTTAATTTTTAAAAAAAGTTTTATTTGACAGAGAGAGTGTGAGCAGGGGGAGGAGCAGAGGGAGAGGGGAAGAAGCAGACTCCCCACTGAGCGTGGAACCTGACGTGGGGCTCCATCCCAGGGCCCTGAGATCATGACCTGAGCCGAAATCAAGAGTCAGACGCTCAACCGACTGAGCCACTCAGGCACCCCGAACATTTATTTTTAAAATGGAGTTTTATATCTCTTTCCTATCTTTAGAATAGTTTGAATAATCATCATTCTAAGAGGGTATGTGGAATGTGTTCATTATGATTGAAAGGAAATGCTCTTATCTAGGCATGGTCACATGTTAGGATCAGTCAGGTTGTTGTCCAAGCTCAGCCCAGGGGAAAGATGGATGTCACTTACATGGCACAGACAGAGCAGTGGTGGCAGCGATCAGGCTTGATCAAATGGCACCGGTCACAGAATCTAACAGCTATAGGAAAAATAAGGTGGTTAGCATTGGTTAGGGCTCAATATGACACCATATATCTTACTAGCCTATCTGGATGGCTTGTTATACACTGATTACAGGTAGTCAAGCTCATCTCAAGTTACCAAGAAAAAGGCAGATCACAGAAGAGAATTGTGGTATGTATTTTTTTCCCTGTTAGATCAATCTTGAAGGCACCTTCTGGGGGATGAAGGTAAAGGGAAAAGTTTTCATATCTGGATATCTGATAATAAGATTTGGTATTATAAAACAAACTATGCTGTCAACTGCTTGAGTGATCTTGGGAAAACCACTTAGATTCTGTTTACTCCAACTTTCCTGTATAAAAACAATTAATTCAGTTGACCATTTCACAGATGAAGGAAGTAAAGACTTAGCCATATCAAGTGACTTACACAAGATCACACAGCAAGTGAGTGGCAGAACTGTGACCACTACAGTTTTTCTGACCCCTCATTTCATTCAGAGTTCTCTTCACTCTATAAGTCTGATATAAAAAAAATTCTCCCTCCCTCTTCCTTCCTTCTCTCCTTCCTTTCTTTATTTCCCTTAATGAAAGGCATTTTCCTTTTCTTCTCATTTTCTCTCTGTTCATCAATAGAGTATGACTATGTTTAATGTAATTAAGTGAAACAACTAAAATCATGAATAATTTGAGCTAATATAATAATTCCATCTGAAGTGTACATTAAGCACATATAATTGATTTAGCATAATGGACTGCTAATTCAGCAGTTTGTGTTTATGTCTAGCAATGGGGGGGATGACAAAAGTATGGTTATAATCAAGGCAGAGAAAAAGGGAGAGGGACATGCATGTTTAATTCATCCAGCATGTTTTTAAAGATATAGTAATATCTTTGCCCAGTTTAAGCCACCATTATCTCTAATTTAGATGACAGCAACAGATGCCTAATTATTTACTCTTTCATTCTTGTTCCCCATAATATATTCTCTATAGAATAGCCAGATGATCTGTTAAAATGTAAATCAGATTATATCACTTTTTACTTAAAACCTTCAGTGGACTTCCAACACCATTAGAATAAAATCCAAACTCCTTACCATGGCCTGTATCATCTGGCCTCTGCTTGCCTCCTCAGTTTTAACTAGTATCACTCTCCACCTGCTATACTCCAGTCACATGGCTGGCTGGCTGTTCTTCTAATACTGCAAGCTTGCTCCTGTCTAAGGGCCTTTTGTACTTGCAGTACCTTCTGCCTGGGATGCTAGTCCCTCTGCTCTTTACTTCCTGCTGGTTTTTATTATGCAGGTCTCAAACCAAAAGATATTTCCTCAGAGAAGCCTTCTCTATAGCATAGGGCTGCAAACAAATGATTCAAGGGTCCAGAGACTAGTGAGTAGTGAGTGAAGCAGCCAGTTGGAAACTGTGAGGGAACCTGAGAATGCATGCCTTATTTAAAAAGTGTGGCTACTACTCAGCTTTAGCTAGTTTTTGCCATGTGAAAATGCAGACTGAATATTGCCAGAGTGTCTGAGTTTTCAGGAGAAGCCAAAAATAAGGACTTTCATGTGGAAATATTCTAGTTGTTAAAAATCAGTAACAAATACAAAGTTTTAAATGATACATTAGAGATCAAACAAAATTTCTCTTGGGTCTAATTCATCCCATACCCCTTTAGTTTGTAACCAATCTCTGTTCTATCACATCATTCTGTTTACTACTGTGAGAAATTATACAAATAATTTCCTGTCTACTTTTCACCATATTTCAGTATGCATGAAGACTTTTAAAAAATCATGACTACCATGACATCAATGCTCTAACAAAATTAATAGTAAGTCCTTAATATCTAATACCCAGATCATACTAAAATTCTCCCAGGTGCCACACAGGATCTTAATGAATGATAACTGAATAAATAAATGAAAAACAGATGAACATAAATGTCTAACAGTATAATTCCCAAAGCCTTGAAACACAATCTTCCTTATTAGAAACATTAGGATGACTTGTCAAAAGAGGTTTGAGTTTCAAATTTTGAAAGGCGGAAAACTGGTTCAGCTAGTACTATTTTAGTCATACAGATGAAAACTAAGAGTAAAACTCCATAGCAGACATTTACCCAAGAAAGATGACATATCTCTGCACAAATACTTATACGAGAATATTCATAGCAGATTTACTCATGATAGCTAAGCACTGGAAACACCAAATGTACATCTACTGGTGAATGGATAAACAAACTATGATATATTCATACAATGAAATACTACTCAGCACTAAAAGGAATAAAATACACAGAAATGTGAAGGAATCTCAAAATATTATGCTAAATAAAAGAAGAAATAAAAAAATCATTTTTTAAAAAAATGATTACATTTATATAAAATTCTAGAGTGGTAAAACTAATCTATGATGGAGAACTATCAGAATAGTGGTTGCCTTGGTAGTGGTTGGTGGGAGTGACTAGGAAGGATATTTAGAGAACTTTCTGGGCATGTGGTAATGTTTATAGAGGTTTTAATGACACAGATGTGTACATCTGTCAAAACACTGAATGGCGAGGGAGCAAGATGGCGGAGGAGTAGGAGACCTGGATTTCGTCTGGTCTCAGGAATTCAGCTGAATAGGGATCAAACCATTCTGAACACCTACGAACTCAACAGGAGACTGAAGAAGAGAGTAGCAACAACTCTCTGAACAGAGAAGCGACCACTTACTGGAAGGTAGGACGTGCGGAGAAGTGAATCTGAGGCAATATTCGGGAGGATAGACGGCGGGGGAGGGGGCCTCCCTCGGCCGCTTCTCGCAAGTGATAGAGCCGCGGAGCACAAAATCGGAACTTTTAGAAGCCGGCTCCGCTGAGGGACATCGCTCCATTGGCTAAGCGGGGGGTGGAACCCTCGCGGGACAGTGTGGTCTCAGGACCCTCGGGGTCACAGAAAGACCAGGGGTGCCTGAGTGCAGCAGAGCTCCCTGGTATTGGAGCAGGGAAGTCAGCTGCAGAGACGGAGCCGAGGCGCGGGCTCTCAGCTCGGGGTTGCCATAAACTGTGATCCACGGCCCAGTCGGGCCACTGCTCCTCCAGTAGGGACCCAACAAGCGGCAGATCCGGGGAGATTCCCCTCCCTCCCCCGGGAGGAGCGGCGCAGGAGTGCACTGCAGGGATCTGCTGGGTTTGGAGACTCCACACGGGGTCGGGTGCCAGAGATAGAAATGCTCGGTCACAGGCCGGGTGAGCACGCAGTGCGGCCGGAGACCAGGGAGATGGGAGTGACTGCTTTTCTCTGGGGGTGCACTGAGGAGCAGGACCCCGAGGAAAAAACAAGACCCATCAATATGCTGTCTGCAAGAGACTCATTTTAGACCCAAAGACACCCCCAGATTGAAAGTGAGGGGGTGGAAAACCATTTACCATGTTAATGGACACCAAAAGAAAGCTGGGATGGCAATCCTTATATCAGACAAATTAGATTTTAAAACAAAGACTGTAATAAGAGCTGAGGAAGGACACTATATCCTACTTAAAGGGTCTATCCAACAAGAAGATCTAACAATTGTAAATATCTATGCCCCTAACATGGTAGCAGCCAATTATATAAGGCAATTAATAACAAAAGCAAAGAAACACATTGACAACAATACAATAATAGTGGGGGACTTTCACACCCCTCTGACTGAAATGGACAGATCTAAGCAAAAGATCAACAAGGAAATAAAGACTTTAAATGACACACTGGACCAAATGGACTTCACAGACATATTCAGAACATTCCATCCCAAAGCAACGGAATACACATTCTTCTCTAGTGCCCATGGAACATTCTCCAGAATTGATCACATCCTAGGTCACAAATTAGGTCTCAACCGATACCAAAAGATTGGGATTATTCCCTGCATATTTTCAGACCACAATGCTTTGAAACTAGAACTCAAGCACAAGAGGAAAGTCGGAAAGAACTCAAATACATGGAGGCTAAAGAGCATCCTACTAAAGAATGAATCGGTCAACCAGGAAATTAAAGAAGAATTAAAAACATTCATGGAAACCAATGAAAATGAAAACACAACTGTTCAAAATCTTTGGGGTACAGCAAAGGCAGTCCTAAGAGGAAAGTATATAGCAATACAAGCCTTTCTCAAGAAACAAGAAAGGTCTCAAATACACGACCTAACCCTACACCTAAAGGAGCTGGAGAAAGAACAGCAAATAAAGCCTAAACCCAGCAGGAGAAGAGAAATAATAAAGATCAGAGCAGAAATCAATGAAATAGAAACCAAAAGAACAGTAGAACAGATCCACGAAACTAGGAGCTGGTTCTTTGAAAGAATTAACAAGATTGACAAACCCCTGGCCAGACTTATCAAAAAGAAAAGAGAAAGGACCCAAATCAACAAAATCATGAATGAAAGAGGAGAGATCACAACCAACACCAAAGAAATACAAACAATTATAAGAACATATTATGAGCAACTCTATGCCAGCAAATTAGATAACCTGGAAGAAATGGGTGCATTCCTAGAGATGTATCAACTACCAAAATTGAACCAGGAAGAAATAGAAAACTTGAACAGACCTATAACCAGTAAGGAAATTGAAGCAGTCATCAAAAATCTCCCAACAAACAAAAGCCCAGGGCCAGATGGCTTCCCAGGGGGATTCTATCAGACAGTTAAAGAAGAATTAATACCTATTCTCCTGAAACTGTTCCAAAAAATAGAAATGGAAGGAAAACTTCCAATCTCATTTTATGAGGCCAGCATTACCTTGATCCCAAAACCAAAGACCCTATCAAAAAGGAGAATTACAGACCAATATCCTTGATGAACATGGATGCAAAAATTCTCACCAAAATACTAGCCAATAGGATCCAACAGTACATTAAAAGGATTATTCACCACGACCAATTGGGATTTAAACCTGGGCTGCAAGGCTGGTTCAAAATCCACAAATCAATCAACGTGATACAATACATTAACAAAAGAAAGAACAAGAACCATATGATCCTCTCAATAGATGCAGAAAAAGCATTTGACAAAGTACAGCATCCTTTCTTGATCAAAACTCCTCAGAGTATAGGGATAGAGGGTACATACCTCAATATCATAAAAGCCATCTATGAAAAACCCACAGCGAATATCATTCTCAATGGGGAAAAGCTGAGAGCTTTTCCCCTAAGGTCAGGAACGCGGCAAGGATGTCCACTATCACCACTGCTATTCAACATAGTATTAGAAGTCCTAGCCACAGCAATCAGACAACAAAAAGAAATTAAAGGCATCCAAATCAGCAAAGAGGAAGTCAAACTCTCTTTGCAGATGATATACTGTATGTGGAAAACCCAAAAGACTCCACCCCAAAACTGCTAGAACTCATACAGGAATTCAGTCAAGTAGCAGGATATAAAATCAATGCCCAGAAATCAGTGGCATTCCTATACATCAACAACAAGACAGAAGAGAGACAAATCAAGGCGTCGATCCCATTTACAATTGCACCGAAAACCATAAGATACCTGGCAATAAATTTAACCAAAGAGGCAAGGGATCTGTACTCAGAAAACTATAAAATACTCATGAAAGAAATTGAGGAAGACACAAAGAAATGGAAAAATGTTCCATGCTCATGGATTGGAAGAACAAACATTGTGAAGATGTCAATGCTACCTAGAGCAATCTACACATTCAATGCAATCCCCATCAAAATACCGTCCACTTTTTTCAAAGAAATGGAACAAATAATCCTAAAATTTGTATGGAACCAGAAGAGACCCCGAATAGCCAGAGGAATATTGAAAAAGAAAAGCAAAGCTGGCGGCATCACAATTCCGGACTTCCAGCTCTATTACAAAGCTGTCATCATCAAGACAATATGGTACTGGCACAAAAACAGACACATAGATCAATGGAACAGAATAGAGAGCCCAGAAATGGACCCTCAACTCTATGGTCAACTCATCTTTGACAAAGCAGGAAAGAATGTCCAATGGAAAAAAGACAGTCTCTTCAACAAATGGTGTTGGGAAAATTGGATAGCCACATGCAGAAGAATGAAACTGGACCATTTCCTTACACCACACACAAAAATAGACTCCAAATGGTTGAAAGACCTAAACGTGAGACAAGAGTCCATCAAAATCCTAAAGGAGAACACAGGTAGCAACCTCTTCGACCTCAGCCGCAGCAACTTCTTCCTAGAAACATCGCCAAAGGCAAGGGAAGCAAGGGCAAAAATGAACTATTGGGACTTCATCAAGATAAAAAGCTTTTGCACAGCAAAAGAAACAGTCCACAAAACCAAAAGACAACCGACAGAATGGGAGAAGATATTTGCAAATGACATATCAGATAAAGGGCTAGTATCAAAAATCTATAAAGAAGTTATCAAACTCAACACCCAGAGAACAAATAATCCAATCAAGAAGTGGGCAGAAGACATGAACAGACATTTTTCCAAAGAAGACATCCAAATGGCCAACAGACACATGAAAAAGTGCTCAACATCGCTCGGCATCAGGGAAATCCAAATCAAAACCTCAATGAGATACCACCTCACACCAGTCAGAATGGCTAAAATTAACAAGTCAGGACATGACAGATGTTGGCGGGGATGCAGAGAAAGGGGAACCCTCCTACACTGTTGGTGGGAATGCAAGCTGGTGCAGCCACTCTGGAAAACAGTATGGAGGTTCCTCAAACAGTTGAAAATAGAGCTACCACACGATCCAGCAATTGCACTACTGGGTATTTACCCCAAAGATACAAATGTAGGGATCCGAAGGGGTACGTGCACCCCAATGTTTATAGCAGCAATGTCCACAATAGCCACACTGTGGAAAGAGCCAAGATGTCCATCGACAGATGAATGGATAAAGAAGATGTGGTATATATACACAATGGAATATTATGCAGCCATCAAAAGGAATGAAATCTTGCCATTTGCAACGATGTGGATGGAATTGGAGGGTGTTATGCTGGGTGAAATAAGTCAATCAGAGAAAGACATGTATCATATGACCTCACTGATATGAGGAATTCTTATTCTCAGGAAACAAACTGAGGGTTGCTGGAGTGGTGGGGGGTGGGAGGGATGGGGTGGCTGGGTGATAGACATTGGGGAGGGTATGTGCTATGGTGAGCGCTGTGAATTGCGCAAGACTGTTGAATCACAGATCTGTATTTCTGAAACAAATAATGCAACATATGTTAAGAAAAAAGAAAAAGAAGAAGATAGCAGGAGGGGAAGAATCAAGGGGAGTAAGTTGGAGGGGGAGAGGAACCATGAGAGACGATGGACTCTGAAAAACAAACTGAGGGTTCTAGAGGGGAGGAGGATGGGGGGATGGGTTAGCCTGGTGATGGGTATTAAAGAGGACACATTCTGCGTGGAGCACTGGGTGTTATGCATAAACAATGAATCATGGGACACTACATCAAGAACTAATGATGTGATGTATGGTGATTAACATAACAATAAAAAGTTAAAAAAAACACTGAATGGCACACTTAAGATTTGTATGTGCCTTTGTATGCAAATTTCACTCAAAAAAGAATGATAAAATATTTAGGTAGATGTGTACTGATATTTGCTATTTAGTTTGAAATGTATGAAAAAATAAGATGACTTGATGGATGATGGGTGAGGGATGGATTTGCGGACAGATATATGATAAAATAACATAGCAAAATGTTAGTGGTAGACTCCAGTACTAGGTATACAGATGAGCCTGTAGATATATATGACTTAGCCTTTTTGAGGTCCTTGCCGATCTCAAAAGGTGACTTGCCGCTTCTCTAGGTGACTTTGGATGAACTGACCTCCACTCCCAGTTCTTGTGTAAACTGGTAGCTTTTTGGCCATATCGATGAGCATCTGCTTCTGGACCTCAGGTCTCTCTTCATTTTCATAGCGTTCCTTGTCTGAATAGGACAAGTGGAACTAGAAGCAGAAGAGGCGAGACTTTATTTTCCAAGGTTCACAGAAAATGTTAAAAACAACAATAACTATTTAGGTGAAAATATTTGTTATCTACCCTTGAAGTCTAGGTACCAATTTGGTTTATAACTCTCTCAGCATAATTATCTTAATTATTTTATCTGGCTTTTATCTCAATCTTCATAAGTCCATGTGATAGGTAGTATTGTTTTATAAATAAAGAAAACTTAACGAGATTAAGTACTTTGTCCATGGTTACACTAACTAGTATGTAGCAAAACTAAGCTCCAAACCCAGTTCACCTGATTCCAAGACTTGTGCCCTTTCCACTCCATTATACCATAATATGATGTTACATACTGATGTATGATACCTTGCTGCCAGGACCCTGTTGATGATTAACTATGATTGTTATTAAGTTGTAGGTATTTTTCATAGGTTACACTCTTAGAGAAGCTGGATGAGACTGCTTGTGACACTATATTCTAATCTCGCAAATGAGTAGAAATTTGGGTATTCTTACTATTGCAGAAATTTTTAGTCTGGTATGAAGCTTATTGCCATTGTTGGCACCACACTTTGCTAATCTTGCAAAAGATATATCAACAATTTTCCAAAGTAACATAGACTTGAAAGCTTTCTTCTGTCTGGGCCAAAAGGTAGGCAGAAGTGAAAAAGAGAAGGATCTGTGATCAGATTTTGGGGGTTTAAACCTCATTTCTTCCACTTAATAGTTAAAAAATCACTTGGAAAATCGGACACTCTCAACCCAAGTTTCGTCATCTGTAAAATAGAGGAAATAATACCTACTTCATAAGATTGGTGTAAAAGTACTGTATAATAAGTAATTAAAAGTTTCTTTTACAAGTCTAATTTCTTAAATCATTTAAAAATATTTTATACTATCATTTTAAATTTTAACTATCCTAGTTTGTAGTATAAAGTTTTAACCAATTCCTTTTAATTTTGATAATTAAAAGTAGCACTTGGAACAGCCCTCTAATTTGGGGGCTGTCCTGGGGAATATAACTTTTGTGTGGCATACTGCACCTGCTTGAAAGGCAGAGGCAGGGTTGTTACTGCTAGTATGTGATGAAAACCTTGTGGCTATTCAACAAGTAAGTTTTGGATTGGAATAAGATGTCATGTTTGGATGCCCTATTTCTGGCACTAACCAAGCCTTTCTGAGGATTAGAATGCAATGAACCAGTAAACACATTTTGGGTGGGCAATGGGTGATAGATTGGGATGTATTTGGTATTAGAGAAATGAATATCATGGCTGTCAAATAGTCCCCAAAGACTCACCTTTTCTTTTTACCAATTAAAAATGATGAAGATGTGGTCTTAAGTGTTAGACATTTGCAGTTCTTATCTAAATCTTACCATCATTCCACCCAGTAAATTTAGGCCTACAAAATTACCAACCATTCAGCCTTTCTATTGGCCTATAAGCTTCCTAAATAGGGTGGAGGGGACAATTATTTCTATTAAGCTAAAGTTCACATAACATAAAATTCCATTTTAAAGTGCACATTTCATAGTGTACACGGTGGCATTTAGTCCATTCACAGTGTTGGGCAGCCATCACCACTATCTACTTCCAGAATATTTTCATCACCTCAAAAGGAAACCCCATATGCATTAAGCTATAATTCCTTATTTCCCCCATCCCCAGATTCTGGCAACTATTAATCTACTTCCTGTCTCATTAGATTTCCTTCCTTTCTGTATATTGCCTACAAATGGTATCAAACAATGTGGTCTTTGGTGTCTGGTGTCTTTCAATTAGCGTAATGTTTTCAAGGTTCATCCAGGCTGTGGCATGTATCAGTAATGCACTCCTTGTTATACCTGGATAATATTCCATTTATGGACATACCACCCTTGGTTTATCCATTCATCTGTTGATGGATATTCCATTTCCACCTTTTGGCCATAGTGACTAGTGCTCTATGAACAATTGTGTATAACTTTTGAACACCTGTTTTCAATTTGAGTATATACCTAGGAATAGAATTGCTGGATCACAAGATAATTTTATGTCTAACTTTATGAGAAACTGAAAAACTGTCCTCCACACCAGCTGTACCATTTTACATTCCCAGTAGCAATATATGAGGATTCAGAATTTCCCACATCCACATTAACACTTGTTCTCTCCCTCCCTCCCTCCCTCCCTTCCTTCTCTCTCTCTTTTCTGTATGTATGTACATATATATGTACGTATGTATGTATTTGTATTTTGGATTTCTTAGTGGGTGTGAAGAGGTATCTCACTGTAGTCTTGATTTACATTTCTCTATTGACTAATGATGTCAATCATCTTTTCATGTGTTTGTTGGCCATTCACATATATTCTTTAGAGAAATGTCTCGTCAAATCATTTGCCCATTTATTAGTTGGGTTATTTGTCTTTTTGTTGTTGAGTTGTAAGAATCTTTATATATTCTGGATACTTGACATTTATTGAGTATATAATTTGTGAACATTTTCTCCCATTCCTTAGGTTACCTCTTCACTCTGTTGGTTGTGGCTTGATGTCCAGAAGTTTAAATTTTAATGTAGTCCAGTTTACCTTTACTTTTGTTTCCTTTGCTTTTGATGTCATGTCCAAGAAATCATTGCCATATCCAATGTCATGAAACTTACTCCCTATGTTTTTTCCTAAAGATTATTTATTTATTTATTTACTTGAGATTGAGAGAGAGTGAGAGCGCACATGTGTGAGAAAGCACAAATTGGGGCGTGGAGGAGCAGAAGGAGAGGGAGAAGCAGACTACCTGCGGAGCAGGGAGTCCAATGCAGGGCTCAATCCCAAGACCCTGAGATCATGACCTGAGCCAAAGGCAGATGCTTAACCAACTGAGCCACTGAGGCACCACCCCCCCATATTTTTTTCTAAAGGTTCTGTAGCTTTCCATTTGAGCTAATTTTTGTATATGGTGTAAGGGTCCAACTTCATTATTTTGCATGTGCATGTCCAGTTTTCCCAGTACCATTTGTTGAAAAGACCATCTTTTCCCCATTGAATGGTCTTGATACCCTTTTCAAAAATTACCTGACCATATATGTGAGGGTTTATTAGTAGGCTCTTCTATTCCATTAGTCTTTGTATCTGTACCACACTGTTTTGATTACTGTAGCTTTGTAGGAAGTTTAGAAATGAGTAAGTGAGACCTGCAACTTTGTTCTTTCTCAAGATTATTTTAGCTATTTGGGGTCCCTTGAGATTTCATATGATTTTTAAGATGGAATTTTCTATTTATGCAAAAATATCATTGGGATTTTGATAGAGACTGCATCAAATCTGTAGACTACTTTGGGGAGTGATGACATTCTTAACAATATTAATTTTTCCAATCCATGAACATGAGCTGTCTTTCCATTTATTTGTATCTAATTGCTTTTAGCAACAGTTTTTAGTTTGCAGTGTACTGAGATTTTCACCTCTTTGATGAAATTTATTCCTAAGTATTTTATTTTTTTCATGATAGTAAATGTAATTGTTTTAATTTTTCTGATTATTCATTGTTTGTATATAGAAATGCAACTGATTGCTGTGTGTTGATTTTGTATCCTGCAATTTTGCTGAATTAATTTATTACTACTAACAGTTTTTTGGGAGGATCTTTAGGGTTTTTTGACATATAAGATCATACTATCTGTGAACAGAGATAATTTTACTTTTTTCTATCCAATTTGGATGCCTTTTTTTTCCTTGCCTACTTTCACTGGTTAGAGAATGTGTTCCTCACTTCTCTCTCTCTCTCTTTGTTTTTTGGAAGATTTTGAGAAGGACTCATGTTAATTATTCTTCTGACTGAATTTACCTGTGAAACCATTTGGTCCTGAGCTTTTCTTTGTTGATTGGTTTTTGATTAATAAATCTCTTTACTTATTTTAGGTATATTCAAAAATTTTTTATTTCTTCTTGAGTCATTTTTGGTAATTTGTGTATTTCTAGGAATTTTTCCTTTTAATCTAGGTTTCTAATGTATTGACACACAATCCTTCATACTATTATAATTCTTTCTGTTTCTGTAGTAATGTCCCACTTTCATTTCTGATATCAGTAATTTGTGTCCTCTCTTTGTTCAGTCTAGCTAAAAGTTTCTTAATTTTGTCGATCTTTTCAAACTCCCAATTTTGGTCTTATTGATTACTTCTACTGTTTTCTATTCTTTATTTGGTTTTTATCTCTGCTCCAATCATCACTATTTACTGCTGCTAACTTTGGGGTTAGATTGCTCTTCATTTTCTGATTTTTTAAGGTGTAAAGAATATTGGAATTGACATATTACTCCTTTTATAATATAAGTATTTATAGCTACAAATTTTCCTCCAAATACTGCTTTATTGCATCCCAAAAGTTTTGGTATGCTGTTTTTCATTTTATCTCAAAGTATTTTTTAAATTTACCTTGTGATTTTTTATTTAATTCATTAGTTGTTTAAGAGTGTTGCTCAATTTCACAAATTTGTGAATTTATAGTTTTCCTTTAGTTATTGATTTCTAGTTTCATTCCACTGAAGTCAGAGAAGATCCTTTATATGATTACAATCTTTTAAACTTGTTTTGCCTCCTAACACATGGTCTATACTGGAAGATGTCCTGTGTGCTCATGAGAAGAACCTGTTACTCTTCTATTTTGGGGTAGAGTGTTCCATACAAGTGTATTACATCTAGTTGGTTTATAGTGTTATGAAATCCTCCATTTCTGTATTGATCGTCTGTCTAGGTGTCCTATTCATAATTGAAAATGGGTTACTGAAATCTCCAATTACTGTAGGACTGTGTATTTTTTCCTTCAGTTCTGTTAGTTTTTACTTCCTATATTTTGGGGCACTCTGTTTATAACTGCTGCATGTTCTTGATGAATTGACTATCTTATCAATATGTAATGTCCATCTCTCTTTTTTTTGTGGGTTATTTTATTTTATTCATTTTATTTTTTCTGGCTTTACTGAGGTATGACTGGCAGATAAAAATTGGATATATTTA